AAGCCTCCAGCATTAGTTAGGGTTCAAATGAGAAACAATCTATATATATATATATATATATATATATATATATATATATATATATATATATATATTCTGAAAAACAGCGCAACTCGACGAGTTTTTGGGAAAAACTCGTCGAGTTTTTCATTTAAATCGCGTGTACGACAAGTCAGCGTCAAGGATCGCAAAACTTCTATTCAACTCGTTGACTTGGAGGCCCAACTCGTCGAGTTCTCTTGGAATCATCATTTTCTTGAAATATGAAAGCCGTCCGAAATTGTGTCTAGTTTTTAGAACATTTTGAATCTCGTCAATCGGAGTTACGGTTCATGAGATATGGCCAAAACACTACCGAGGGGTCAAGCTGTCCAGCAACATCCTTCTTTCTTCAAAATCCAAGATCCAAGCTTCCAATCGCCAATTCTGCTTCCATTTCCTTTTGAGCATGTCTTTATTGATGAAAATGAAAATTTAAAACTAATTAAGCATCTTTTGTTCATTAAATGAGATAAAATCAACATAAAGTATTAAGATAATGCATGAATTTTATAACTAAATATGCCCATATCACATGGTCTGGACTGAATTGATGTGTTCAAATTTGTAGTTTGATTTCAATCACAAATCGAGAAGTCGAGAAAGGGAATAAAAAACATGAGGTTGATCATTTAATCCATGACTATGTTCATATGATATCTTGTAGAACAAGGAATAACTGATCACTTATCTTAGGACCAATGTTTGATTTGAAAAATAGTTTGACAGTAACTTTGGAAAGCACAATATGCTGTTTGGTTCAAGGTTATACTGTAACTTGTAGTTATAGACTTATTCAAGTTGGAGACTACTGGATATATTTTTGTGAGCTTATAACTAAATTGGTATATTCTTTTAATTAGAAGCAAATTCTTTTTTGGGTTGCCCTTATAACTAGAACTTGGTTAGAATGACATTTCTAGAGAAAGGATAATATTATTAGTTTAATATATGATTAATAAAATATATCAAATAATTTATTAATATATTATGTGATTAATATATTAATTGGAAATACATATTTGATTTTTTTATTTAATATGTGATTAATAAATTAATGTAAGATCAATTATTAAATAATTGATTTGTTGATTTATATGATTAATAAATTAATGTGAAATTAATAAGAATTGATTAATTATTAATCAGAATTAATTCGGGATTAATTGGAATTAATTAAAGGTGCAAGGGATGAATTTTAGTTGTTCATAGCTGAGCAAGGAAAGACAATTCTAGAGGTTGTATAGGGTGGATGGTTTGTGTGGGGATTTTAGGGTTTCTGGAAGCCTCCTGGAGCTGATAAGGATAATTTCCTTGAATAGATAAAATATGAATATTTTATAATTCAAATCAGGGTTTATTGTAAAGATCCCCTAGCTATGAATACCTTCCCTTGGGCATCAAATTTCTGGCTCTCACTTCCTAAAGGGTTGTGAACAAAATTTTTCACTTCTCCTCTCTCCTCACTTGTATTCTAATTTTAGGGTTTGGGTGTGAGCCATTAGAGGCATCATCCTTTTGGTGCTAAGCTTTCCAAGTGCAATAACTACAAGGGATTGAAGTGATTTGTTTACTACAACAAATCAAAGGTATATAACCCTAATTCTTGTATTTTGATTATACTAGGTTTTCATTAGCGTTCATGTTATTTTGTTTTTCCTTTTTTGTTACATTCAAGATGTTGTAACATAGATCATTTAGGTTGCCTGTTCCCTTAAGTGTCAAAGTGAAATTCCACAAGCACATAGTTTTGTAACATATAAAACCCATCATAAACAAACATGTTGTAAATACCTCTTATCCCTCACGACAAAGCAGAAAGTCGATCTTACTCTGGTACCCTCGCCATAAACGGTCAGCTCTCCTGCACTAGGGGTACAAACCACCACAAACTGCGAGTCGCAATTATTCAAATCCCCAAACCATATCAACCAATCCATGCCCGCAATAACATAAACATCACCCATCAGAATGGGAACAATATCAATTGGGAACCTCATTTGAAAAATATCCAATACACAGTCGTGATAAACTCTCGAAGTCGAAACCGTACGATCATCGACATTTGTGGCACCCAGTTCCATGAAAAAACCTCATTGAACTTCCCAAAATTGTTGCAATTTTGACCCCTTTTCCCCCCAGATGTCGAATCTGCAAGCTTGAACCGCTTAGCTATGGACTATGAATGAACTTGAGTCTGTTTCTTCTCTCTCTTTTGGATCTCTAACACTGACTTTCTACTCCTAACTTGTGACTACAACTGACATAGCGTCTAATACTAGGAGTTTTCCATTGACTCCCTGATCTCGGTCTTCAACATACTTAGGTATCGGGACATATTAATCTCCTTACTGGTTGAATACTCTTGACAAAATAAGCCTCTCTTAGTAAACTTCTTAGTGATCATAGTCACCGACTTTTTCGTCTGCTTCAAGGACATGTACTCCTAATCCAGGCGTTTTGTCTTAACTTTTAGGACATACTCTGCTTTAAACATGTCAGTAAAATGCTTATAATTTATCTCCTCATGCTTAGCATAAGAAAGGGTATTGGAAACCAGACCCCACCAATCCTTCTCCCCTAATTAAGAAGGTTCAATGAAAAATAGTGCTAGCTCATACTATTCACTTATTTACTATTTTTTTTAATAACTATATGAATCCCCCAGATCCTTGTATGGATCTTGTGCTTCCTGTAGTACGTGCACATACTACCTTCCATACCTATTCGTACTCGTCCCCAAGAATTATCCCAAAGTTTCCAATTTACTATACTCGACTACTGCTAGGTGTACTAAAACACACATATGTGCTCAAAAGATCCACAAACTACTCTTCCTAGACCCTTATTTAAGGATTTCCTCTACCACATTCGCGTACTGCCATTACTAGAAAACAGGCCTTTAACGACAGGCAATTTACGATACGCACGGATTTACGATACGCAAAAGTGTGTGACGTAAAAATAATGTCATCTCTCCTAAAATTTAAAGGATTTAGGACACGCATTTTTGCATGCCCTAAAATTAGTGTTTAATAAAAAGAACATAGAGGGCACCTTAAATAAAATGTGTATCATCTAACCATGTCATTTTATAAATTTTAATCAAACACACTTTCCATCCCAAGGGGGGAAATGAAATCCCAAAAATTAAAAAGCCCGCTTCGTTTCCACCGGCAGAAAACCCTAGCTCGTCCCCATCGAAAACCCCCTTTCTTTCTTTCTTCTCTCTCGATTCTCAAACCTCCACCGCTTCACTTCCCACTGACGACCTCCGCTCACCTCTTCCCCCCCCCCCCCCCCACCTCCCAAATTCAGTTGCTTCCAATTTGGGGGTTATTACCCCAGTTCCTTTCGATTGCTCTCCGATTAAACGATTTATTGCCGACTGCGAAGCCTCCACAAACCCTACCTCGACTCCATCGCCATCTACTTCTTCCCAACGGAGACCTGATTTTACTCCATCATCGTCTACTTTGCTCTCTGTCGCTATCATTCTCTCTCCACCTGCCTCCAGAAACAAATTGTACCTTATACCATTCAAGGTCTTTCTCCCAGTTGAAGTTGAAGACGAACACTGAAATCGATATGTTTAAGGTTACCATGTTCTGTTTCTAGGTTTGATGCTATCAATCTGGTTCGTTTTTCTTCAACAAAATGTGCTTATGTAAAAAAAATTACAACATTGTCATTCTTTTATTGGTTTTCTCATTCGTTTTTCAAGGAAATCTGGAACATATTTTATGAGTTCTTCTAGTCTAACCATTAAACATCTCTATAATTGATCTACTAAAAGAAATTTTTATAAGAAATATCTTCGATTCCTTGCTTAACTTCTTGGTGTTTGCGTAATTAGTTTTTTTTTCTAATCTTTCTGTTAATGGATTTGTCCAGGAAACAACTGTTATTTTGATGATGGAGAAGAACCCATGTACGGTAGGTAAACCCATGTTACTGAATATTTTTCATATTGTGTTCTTTGGCTTTTGTTGCTCAAATCACAAGCTTGTAACCTACAAGAGCAGTTCCACATGCTCGGGCAAGAGCAAACATCACGTTATAATCATGGAAAGGTACTGTAGGAATAAGTTATTCGATCTCTTCTCCTTTTTCCTTGGTATTCATCCATCGTTTTCAAATTTCTTTTAGGTTATGGAAATGAAATGCTTCTTCATGGTTATATTTATTGATTTTACAGTAGACTTTATTTTTTTAGAATATGTCTGTGTCCTTGGTACTGGTTTCAAGGAATGCATCCTCAAGGGTCTTCTCTCTATCGATGGTCTCGAGGTTTAGATTCTTCTTACTACAATCTAACACATGTTAACTTATTTCTTGCTGATTTGTAGTTTTTACTAGGTCTTTTTGTCTTGGTGTGAGTTTTGTTTCATATGGTCATATGTCAGTTTTGTATGGCTACCCATCTGGTATCATCTTAATTTTATTTTACAATTGACATTTCTACGTTACAAGAAGAATGGAATACGAGGGATAAGGTGGTGTTTGCATGTTTCCTCATTTGTTGGCTCTGCTTCTGCCTATGTTTGGTGTGAGTGTCAGTTTAAGGGATGGGTGTGGGATTTATATTTTTTATTTAAATATGTACTGAACGTTTTATTTATTTATTTATTTATTTTTACTATTTATTATTATTATTATTATTATTATTATTATTATTATTTTAAATTTCATATTAATTCAAATAAAAGGGCAATACATATTTATTGGGGTTTCTTTTTCCAATCTCTCGAGTAATCAACTATTCAGTTTTTGAGAAGGTTTGATATTTAATCATGGTCTTTGTGTTAGTTGTATTATGCAAACAAATCTCAAATTTAATATATAAGTATGTATATATGTTTTTGCATCTTACCAGTTATCTTGTTGCTTCAGAATGTTCTAAATTGAGCTTGCTTTGGACTTTAATACCTCAGGAGCAGTAAATAAATGAAGGGCTCTACATGATGGGACTGAAGAATGAGATATTCCATCTTTCTTGGTTTATTACATATGCTTTGAAGGTGAGCTTCTTTTCAAAAGGAATTACTTTTCTAGTATTTTGATATTACTATCTGTTTCTAACAATTTATGTTTTCTACAGTTTGCAATTTCATCAGGAATCATTACTGTTTGTACAATGGGCATGTTGTCTAAGTACAGTGATAAGTCATTGATATTCATGTATTTCTTTGTGTTTGGACTGAGTGCAATAATTCTATCCTTCCTGATCTCTACTTTCTTCACACGAGCAAAATCAGCTCTGGCAGTTGGAACTCTTGCTTTCCTTGGAGCCTTCTTTCTTACTATACAGTGAATGATGAAGCTGTTTCAATGTAAGTTATCAGGCCAATTTCTTGTATTGAACAATAATCGATGCAGAAAGTTCTTTCAGATTGTATGTGGCTCAAGTGGATATTTGTTCACTTGTAAGGTTTTAAAGATATTGGCTTCTTTGCTTTTGCCTACAACTTTTGCTTTAGGGTCAGTCAATTTTGCTGATTATGAGCGTGCACACATTGGACTCCATTGGAGCAACATTTGGAGGGTAAGTTCTCCTATTTTAATTCAATTTTCAACTCTAAAATATCTCTGAATTGATTAGGTTTTTACCCTGTAGGCATCTTCTAGGGTGTGCTTTCTAATCTGTCTCAAACTGATGGTGTTCGACTCTATATTGTACTTTGCAATTGGCCTCTATTTGGATAAGGTATAGTTTCCCTTTTGTCACTGCCTTCCTTCTTTTGGATCTTAAAAAGGTGGAACTTTATTGCTTTCTTCCTTCTTTTGGGTCCTAAATATAGATATTGGGCTAGTTTTTAACATTTACTTATCAGGTGAAGACAAAATATCACATTCCAAATTTTTTGACATTTACTTATTTGTGACGACCTTAGAGGAGGTTTTCTTGAGAGTTGCAGGATGTGACATCAGCGAAGAAGAGGAGTGCCTTGAGGGAGATACCAACAACTGATTAGTGGGGTAAGCAAGCTTGTTTGTTTTCTTTACTCTTTTCTTTTGTTAACAAAGCAATGTATAACCAATAAGTGCTTCACAGTTCGACCATTAACTAGTTATCATTACTAACACTCAGGTATCTATATTGTCATATTGGGTGTCAACATATATATGGGACTTCATAAGCTTCTTAGTCCCTTCCTCATTTGCGATGATTCTCTTTTACATCATTGGTAAGTCTCCAAACTCACATTTTACATGCATTTTCCAATGTATATTGTAAATATTTACATCAGTAGTATTTGTATGTAAAAGCCTTTTTTGTAGGCTTAGAACAATTTATTGGAAATATTTTACATCTTTGATGAACTATGTTTAACATTGTTCTGTCTTTGTAGGCTTAGAACAGTTTATTGGAAGTGGTATTGTATTCCCTACAGTTCTCATTCTATTGGAATATGGTTTTGCAACTGCATCTTCAACATATTGCCTAACCTTTTTCTTTTCAAAACACAGTATGGCACAGGTAGACTTATTTCAAATCTCTGCATGATGACATTGTAAAACAAAAAAATGTTACATGTTTATGTAGATCCTGATTGCTTTTTGGGTGGAATGTCACTGGTGGATCTATTTGTTATTTGGCTGCTGAGGTGTGTTTCTGATTTGAATTGAATCTATGCAAGTTGAATGTTTGATCAATGAAAATTGGGATAGATTGAAATCAACTTAGACATATTTTCTTTCTTTTTGACAGGGTGTCATTTATTTTCTTCTAACACTTGGGCTTGAATATTTCCCTCCCCACAAATTCAATGTATTTAGCATAAAGGACTTCATAAGAAGTTTCAGAAGAAGCAGTCCCACTGATGAATTTTGTATACAACTTCTATTGATTTATTTTATCTTTCCATGGAACGATTATTTGTATGACATTAAATTTTATGCAATGGATTGTATTTTTTGTATATGATATTTTATTTTTTATTATGAGACATTGAATGCAAATTTAATTTGAAACTTAGTAAATCTATAAATAATATTTTTTTTAAACATTTAAAATTACGATATGCAAAAATGTGTCTTCTTCATTTATGACATGGCCTTTCTTGACAGGGGCTTTAATGATACGCAATGTGAGTCGTAAATGATGAGTTTAAGAACTCTTAGATCGATTAGATCTTCAACAGGTTTAAACAAGACAAGCAAACAAACACAATCAACACAATATAGAATCAAGTAATGCTTAATGATTCAAATGTAGTCACGCCTCAGTAGAGCTCGATGAAGAACTTCCACTGTAGAGGCGAGCTAGGGTTTTTAGTACAATATCCAGAATAATAATAAAAGCGCTAAAAATAAAGGATGCATGCATGCACCTTAAATACTAAACCCTCATAAAGTAAACACGGTTGGACAGGCCCAAACTGGATAACAAAACTGGGCTAAGGACCGAGCCCAAGACGCAACACTATTATACCCAACACTCTCGCCCTTTGCGTCAAAAGAGGCGAGAGACTACTTCGGTTGAGTAACCTTGACCTGCTTCACAACCTTGAACAGCCGAGGGATGATCGCAAGAAGTGTCTGCCGAAACTGAATGTACCAACGAAGCATATCGGTGAACAACTTCTTATCAGCTTCACTGTTCTGATTACACCTGTGAATGATCTCCAAAATATGCTCCAAGCAAGCAGTAGAGAACAGGTGCTTGTCAATAAGAGCGAACAGGCACTTTTGACCTTTGCCTCTAATGAACATCACAGTATGAAACTTAGGATCGATTTTTCCCTTGATCATCGCATTCACATTGCCAGTTCTTCCAATCGGTTTTATCGTAGTTCGCTTGTGAATGGCAGATGCGATTTCTTGATCCATCTTTGCTACTTCGTGAATGTAGCAAACAAGCATCCGTTTTGACGTGATCAATGATCGGTTGATACTCCTGAGGATTGGACAGTAAAATATTGTTGAGGAGTATCCAGTCGTGCGGGTTCAAGTTCAGTAGATCAGCCAGGGAAAAAGTATGGACCGAGCTATCCGAGCCTCGGGTCACTTTGAATTTGACATTAATAAATTTCCGAGCCGAAGAGGGCTTCAATACCTTGACCGTTGTAATCTTCTTTGTGCTCCATGTCAAGTATTGTGGCTGAGCAAACTCCAGATAAAACTCCAATAAATCCCGATCTACCTTTGGGTCTGGAGAGGGAACAACAGCCGTTGAGTCAAAGCAATGAAAGATAAATGCCTTTCGGGTGATTGGCATATCGAATTGAGCGTCCTTCGAGTTCTCAAGACCGAACGAGATAACAGGTTCAAGCCAGTGAGTACTCGGTTCATCAATGACTTCCCTCCGGAGCGATTCAATGGTCCATTCCGGAAACATGGACTTCTTTTTCTCTAAGAGTTCTTTTTTTTCAACTCTTTATCCAAAAGATTCATCTTCTCCCGAATCTCTTGCTCAGTAGGCTTCACGTTCTGATGAGGGTTGGAAGGATTCTTTTTCATGATGTCTTCAGTATCATCATCATCATCTTCATCGTCTTGTCCAATCTTCTTCTTTTTCTTTTCCCTCTTACTGGACGAAGCTACATTATCCTTCGGTCCATCAGTAGATTTCGGTTCTGGAGGGGGTTGAGGTGGAGCCTTGCCTGCCTTGCCTTGTGGATCCTTTTCTCCCCCTTGTTTCAGAATCACCTCTCGTTCAGACCTTAAATCGTCAAGCTCTTTGGTTGCTGTTCGGAGCTTTAAGTTCTGAATTTTGAGTTGGGAAGTTCGCTTGTCCAGCACATCCATGATTTTGTTTTCGACTGCAAGCTCGGCCTCCAGCTGAGTTAAGCGATCATCAACTTTAGTATGAAGCTCTTCGTTAGCAGCTTCAATAGCTTTTCGAGCCACTTCGAGTTGTGTCTTTTCTGCCTCCAGTGAACGCGTGAGACTGTCAACAGAAGCATTGACAGTCTGAGCGTTTTTCTGAGCAGCAGCCTGCAAAGACTCCAAGAAGAGTTGAGCCTCTGAAATTAGTTTTTCGACTTTTGCGGTCGCTTCCTTGCAGTCTTTGGTTGAGGCTTCAACAGCAAGCGAAGCCTTCTGGCATTGGGAGGTAGAGGCATCAATAGCCTTTGCAGCATCGGAGATGGAGGAAGCATGGTCTTGTACGACTGAAGAGAACAAAGCTTTAAGGGCTGCTTCTGAATAAGCACCAGCAGAAGACGAAGAAAGTAACTGGTCAATTTTATCAGTCAGAGCCTTGAGATGTCACTTGGTGAGAGGAGCGTCTTCATCATCATCGCTTTGGACACGATAAGGACTGAAGTAGGTAGAATCAAACTCCAAGTCCTCACCTCCAAGAACGGTATTGGTTTCTGTGGATTGGGTAGGTGATAGAGGTTTGGTGGTAACAGGGGTTTTGGGTGCTGAAGAACGAGCCCCCGTATCAGATACGTTGGTCCGAACTCCAGTAGTGGTGGTAGTTGTAGCGTAAGTGAAAATAGGTGTAGATATAGGAATGGTAGAGAAATGTTGAGATGTGATGATAGGGAAAACTGGAGGTAAGGAAATAGGAATAGAAACAGGTGGAGGAGAAGGTGCTTTGGAGCGAACATTTACCTCTGGTGTAGGCGAACGAGGCGGAGTATCACAACGAGCCGAACCGTCATCATCTGAGCTTTCGCTCTCAGATTCACTTGGAATGGTTGATTGATGACCAAGAGGCACGTACTCAGAGTCTGAGTCGCTTGATGATTGAAGAATAAGCTTCCGAGCAGGTTTCTTGGACTTCTTCTGCTTGGGCTGGGTAGGTGCTGCCTTCTCAGACTTTCGCTTCCTTGGAGTCTGACCCTTTGAGACTTGACCTCCTTTATCCCCCTTTTTCGTGTCTTGCTTCTTTCCCCGTTTAGCAGGTTTGTCTGCTTCCTCAATAGATTTCACCATTTCAGGAGTGAGTTCCCTTGGACCAGAAGAAGGAAGCTTCTTGTACTCCTGAATAAGCTTGCTCGAAGGAGGCACAGAAGCATACATTGTCTCAGGAATGGATCCAACAAAGAGAAACTTCGAAGGATGAGTGACAATGATGTTGGTGGTATGAAATGTAGCAATAGAGGAAAGCAGGGAGTCCGCCATGATAGGAACATGATAACGCTCCATAACCCACTGAGTTATAATCGCCCAGAACCGGGCACATGAAATCTTTATGTGGCGAGAAGAAGATGACAAACTATGGACAAGTTGAAGCCACAAGACGAGTCCATAGTCAAGATTGAGACCATGGTACAACCCATAAAGCAAAGTCATGAAAGACTTGCTAGCACCATCAGATCGGGCACTGCGTTTAGAAAGCCCTTTGAATAGAAGAGTGAAGAGGCCGTTCCATTGAGGAGGAAGACATGACTTTTTGAACTTGGTCACAGTGGGTTAGGGTTTCAGTGTACCCATGTTGTAGAACATCGAGAAAAGCTGACCTGTTGAGATGGAATCAGGATTCACCATGGATTCTTCAAAAGTGAGCCCTAGCAACGAGCAAAATCGATTCTTTGAGATTGAAGCCTTCTGGTTGAGAATGTCGAAGAAAATCTTGTCTGCACCTTTGTCGTATGTGGCCGTAGAATAGATTTGAGAGAGACAGGCCATTGGAACGACTTCCACCGTCGATAGAGCTTTGACGAGTGGGGAATATTTCAGGCATTCCACCACTTGATACATGTAAGTATCGTAGAGAAACGGTGTAAGATCGATCAGCAAGTTCTGATTGGGCTTGATTGCAAGAAGAGTGGAGCGTGCGGTGGTTTCTTGAACTGAGGAAGATTCTGCCATTGTTGAAGCTTGTCGAAGAAGAAGATGAACAGTGAAAATTAGATCGCTTTCTTTTGCTTGAGAGAGTTGAAGTGTGGTAAAGAAGAATCCCACAGAAATCAAACCCTTATATACGATTTTGTAGAGAGAGAAAAATCGCAAGCAATGATTCCTTAAATTTGGGAAACGACGCCTAAAAAGGCGTGATTTGACAACTAGCAACCCCGATAAAGTAGTGATGACGCATGATAAGGTAACTGTTCAAATTCTCGCGCCTTCCAAACTTATCCACAATTCAAATTTCCAATCGATTAAACTTCCTGCTGAGTCACCGCTTGAATCGTCAATCAAATCTTTATTACCATAATAACCAAGGACGTTTGGAAAATGCAAGATTTTCGTGCAAGATAGTGTCAAAGATAAAGAAATAAATCAAATTATTTGTGGGAATTAGTGATGTCTTTTAAGACACAAAGCAGTGGATCCCGGGCACGAATCTCTTCCTTCAAAGTCAAGAGAGACTTCAAAGTGCTTGTTTGGATTCCCGTTGAATTACGATCAAGTACTTGTTGAGAAGCATTGAAAGGCATCTTTTATATATAAGGCTATTAAGGGTGGCTTTCGCTTCAATTCTTGAGTTCGATACTTGATATAAGACCGAAATAGAACGAAGTACTTGTGAGACCGATGTGGCCTGTTAAACAAGTAGGTTTGGAACATATTCAGTGACTTGTTGAAAACTATTAATTAGAAATCTCAAAA